AGATCCCGGAAATATCCCCGAAAGATCCCCGAAATATCCCGGAAATATCCCCGAAATATCCCGGAAAGATCCCGGAAATATCCCCGAAAGATCCCGGAAATATCCCAAAAATATTCCCAAAATATCCTGGAAATATCCCCAAAATATCCCCGAAAGATCCCGGAAATATCCCCAAAAGATCCCCAAAATATCCCCAAAAGATCCCCAAAATGTTCCCAAAATATCCCCAAAAGATCCCGGAAATATCCCCAAAGGATCCCGGAAATATCCCCGAAAGATCCCCAAAAGATCCCCAAAATATCCCCAAAATGTTCCCAAAAGATCCCAGAAATATCCCCGAAAGATCCTGGAAATATCCTGAAAATATTCCCAAAGTATCCCCAAAATATTCCCAAAATATCCTGGAAATATCCCCAAAATATCCTGGAAATATCCCCAAAAGATCCAGGAAATATCCTGAAAATATTCCCAAAGTATCCCCAAAAGATCCCCAAAAGATCCCGGAAATATCCCCAAAATGTCCCGGAAATATCCCCAAATATTCCCAAAATATCCTGGAAATATCCCAAAAATATCCTCAAAATATCCTGGAAATATCCCCAAAAGATCCTGGAAATATCCTGAAAATATCCTGGAAATATCCCCAAAATGTCCCTAAAATATCCTGAAAATATTCCCAAAATATTCCCAAAAGATCCCAGAAATATCCCCAAAATATCCTCAAAGTATTCCCAAAAGATCCCAAAATCAGCCCCAAAGTTTCCCCAAAATATTCCCAAGATGTCCCCAAAATATTCCCAAAATATCCTGAAAATATTCCCAAAGTATCCCCAAAATATCCCGGAAATACCCCAAAATATTCCCAAAATATCTGCAACGTATCCCTAGAATGTCCTCAAGATATCTGCAAAATATCCCAAAATATTCCCAAAATATCCCCAAATCACCCCAAAATATCCCCAAAAATCCCCCAGAATTGGGGTCCCAATCCCATTTTTAATGCTCCTGATCCCGTTTTTGTGGTTTCAATTCTGGTTTTGGGGTCCCTGATCCCATTTTTGGGGTCCCTGATCCCATTTTCGGGGTCCCTGATCCCATTTTTGGGTCCCAATCCCATTTTTGGGGTCCCTGACCCCATTTTTGGGGTCCCAATCCCATTTTTGGGGTCCCTGATCCCATTTTTGGTGTCCCAATCCCATTTTTGGTGTCCCAATCCCATTTTTGGGGTCCCTGATCCCATTTTCGGGCTCCCAATCCCATTTTTGGGGGTCCCTCACCCCATTTTTGGGGTCCCAAACCCATTTTTGGTGTCCCAACCCCATTTTCGGGGTCCCTCACCCCGTTTTTGGGGTCCCTGATCCCGTTTTTGGTGTCCCAATCCCATTTTTGGGGTTCCTGACCCCATTTTTGGGGTCCCTCACCCCATTTTCGGGGTCCCTGATCCCATTTTCGGGGTCCCTCACCCCGTTTTCCCCCCAGAGCCACCCGGGCGCGGAGGTGACGGTGCTGGACCTCTTTGACCGGGGCTGTCCCAATCCCATTTCTGGGGGTCCCAAACCCATTTTTCTGTATCCTGATCCCATTTTTGGGGTCCCTGATCCCATTTTTGGGGTCCCTGATCCCATTTTTGGGGTCCCTCACCCCGTTTTCCCCCCAGAGCCACCCGGGCGCGGAGGTGATGGTGCTGGACCTCTTTGACCGGGGCTGTCCCAATCCCATTTTTCTGTATCCTGATCCCATTTTTGGGGTCCCTGATCCCGTTTTTGGGGTCCCTGATCCCATTTTCGGGGTCCCTGACCCCGTTTTTCCCCCCAGAGCCACCCGGGCGCGGAGGTGACGGTGCTGGACCTCTTTGACCAGGGCTGTCTCTGACCCATTTCTGGGGGTCCCAATCCCATTTTTGGGGGTCCCAATCCCATTTTTCTGTATCCTGATCCCATTTTCGGGGTCCCTGATCCCATTTTCGGGGTCCCTGATCCCGTTTTTGGGGTCCCTGACCCCGTTTTTCCCCCCCAGAGCCACCCGGGCGCGGAGGTGACGGTGCTGGACCTCTTTGACCGGGGCTGTCCCAATCCCATTTTTGGGGTCCCTGATCCCATTTTTGGGGTCCCAACCCCATTTTCGGGGTCCCTCACCCCATTTTCGGGGTCCTTGATCCCATTTTTGGGGTCCCTGACCCCGTTTTCCCCCCCAGAGCCACCCGGGCGCGGAGGTGACGGTGCTGGACCTCTTTGACCGGGGCGCGTCGCTGCGGCCGCTGTGGCTGCAGGTGGCCGGGTTCCGCCGGGCGCTGGCGCCCATCATGGCCAACGCGGCCCGGGGGGTTCACCTGCTGGGCTACAGCCAGGGTGGGTGGGGGTCCCGGGGGTCCCGGGGCCATGGGGTCGTGGGGAGGGGTCCCGGGGGTCCCAGGGTCGTGGGGAGGGGTCCTGGGTTTATGGGCAGGGGTCTCAGGGTCATGGGGAGGGGTCCTGGGGGTCTCAGGGGTTCACCTGCTGGGCTACAGCCAGGGTGGGTGGGGGTCCTGGGACCCCCGGGGCTGGGGAGGGG